CTGACTCCTGATCTCAGCTCAGGTCTTGATCTCAGGGTTGTGAGTTCAAGCTCTGCATTGGGCTCCACACTGGATGTAGAGCCTACTTTAAAAAAAAAAAAAATACTAAGCATCATAAGTAAATGTTAAGTGTCTAAAAAAAAAAAAAAAAAAAAACCTGTATTAGGTGGGAAGGTAAGTTCTGACAGAGCGCATGTACAAAAGCTGGGTAGCACCAAGAAGCACCAGGGGTCCCCGACACCAAAGTTTTCAAATTATAAAGAGACCAGGAAGATAGGGGAGGGGTTGAATCATGAGGGACAAAGTTATCTGAGTATCAGACCATAAATTATAGGGAATCATATTTTAAACAAAAGAATGATAGAGTCATACTTGCATTTCAGCAAAGCATCTTTTTTAAGCAGTTTAGAAAATAAATGGAAGTAATACAAGACATGAGTTATGAGAATATGAAAATAAGTCTACTGAATAAATAAAAGAACAACAATACTGAGGAGGTAAAATCAGCCTGACTGATGAGATATCTAAGGGGTGAGTGATAATGACTCAAAAACTGAAAGCCAAGGTTCAGAAATTTAGCAACCAACAGTCAAAGATGAATTAACAAAAAGCTGAAATGAAGGCCATTTGAAGAAACAGATAACATAGTTGCGAACATGACGATTTTGAAATGCTATTATATATCCACTTGGAGATATTTAATGGGAAGTTGGCCATCTAGGTCTAGCAATCAAGAGGTGAAGATATTTTTTAGGATTCATGACTAGATGAATAGAATTTGAAGATGCAGAAAAAAAATGGGCACACTAAGAAAGGAGGGAGAATGAGGAAACTCTTCTGAATATGAGCTTTAGAGCCAAAAAGAAAAGGCAACTAAGAATTAACCCAAAGGAAGAACCAGGAGCATGGGAATAGTATTGGAAAGGAAGGAAATTAAAGAAGTAGTAAACCACATCAAATGTGAAAGCAAGGTCAAATAAGACACCACTAGTGAAACCAATGTATGTAGCAGTTAAGAGACTATTAGCAAAAGAAGTTTGAACTCAGTAGCAGACAGGTGCGAAAGCTTAGGAGCCTTAAGCTGGAGTAGGAATTGGAAGATAAAGAAGTGGAAACAAATTACTTTAAGAAGCTGTCCTATAACTTGAGGGAAAGAGAGAGAGAGAAGATATTTCCTTGAGAATGGAGCAAAGTAAAAGAAAAGTTGGTGGTGTTATTTTTTTTAAAGACGACATAACTTTAGAAATTCTTATCAGTTGAGGAGTCAGTGGAGATGAACATGGGCATGGGAGACGTGGTGAGGGCACTGATCTCAGAGAAGCCAGGAAGGAATCCGATTCTAAGAGGACCGAATGTCAGGACAGTCCCAATCCAGAGGAACTCACCTGCCTCGGAGATAAGGCCACAAACCAGTCAGGTGAGAAGCTGAGGAAGACACCTACTGTTTCAGTGACACAGACATTAATTGGTGACCATGAGAATGGCATTGTTCAGTAGAAGGAATGAGAAAAGCAATGAAGTTTTAAAACTCTCCCCGTGGGCAATACAGGGGACCTCCTGAGGCTCTGGGAGTGGGTCTGGAATATTTTCCTTATGGATAAGTAAAAGACTATTCGAGTCATGAATTATCAGTTTATATGTTTATAGGATCATGGATGACAAGCTATTAATAAACTTAAGGCCCAGAAGTCACCATGAACAACTCACAGAAGACATTTTTCTCATATACTCGTAACCACATAAAACATCAAAAAAACAAACATTACCCAAGTAGAACTGAAAATAAAGCATACAACATTACCTTTGCAGAGCTGTATTAACCACCAGACCTTACTAAATAATGCATGTTAAAGACGACACCTAATTACAATTTAATGATTATGATAATGCAGGAGGGCTTTATGAAAATAATATGGTGTTGGGGTGCCTGGGTGGCTCAGTTGGTTAAGCAACTGCCTTCGGCCCAGGTCATGATCCCAGGCTCCTGGGACTGAGTCCCACGTCAGGCTCCCTGCTCAGCGGGAAGTCTGTTTCTTCCTCTCCCTCTGCTGCTCCCCCTGCTTGTTCTCTCTCCCTTTCTCTCTCTCTGTTAAACAAATAAAAAAAAAACAAAAACAACAAAAAAAAACACTTGAGAGAAATAGAAATAACACAAAGAAAAGGAAAAATCACGATTTTACATGGCAGGTAGTAAACCCACATAAAATAATTCCTTAATCTGTGAGAGTCAACTTTCTTTAATTGCATAAATTTAAAAAATTAATGGACGGCGGGGCGCCTGGGTGGTTCAGTGGATTAAAGCCTCTGCCTTCGGCTCAGGTCATGATCCCAGGGTCTTGGGATCGAGCCCCGCATCGGGCTCTCTGCTCAGCGGGGAGCCTGCTTCCTCCTCTCTCTCTGCCTGCCTCTCTGCCTACTTGTGATCTCTCTCTCTGTCAAATAAATAAATAAAATCTTTAAAAAAAAAAATTAATGGACGGCAAAATAAAACAAATTCAATAGAAAAAAGAGTTTATGAAATTAAGCCATCAGTGGACTCGGGGGGTAGTATTCAACCTTCTCAACTCGACCTGAGTTCTCTCTCTATAAAGGATATTTTCCCTGAAAATACAAATTTACCTGGAAATAAAACAGACGAAAGCACATCAATGCCACCCACCTTCTCACCAAAATACATCCCACCTTTATTATTAATTGTTTGCTTAGTATCATGCCTTTCTTTTGTACCTCTTAGTACTTAAGAGAGTCTGGTATATGGCAGATGTTCATTAAAAAGAAAACTTAAGGGGCTCCTGGGTGGCTCAGTGGGTTAAAGCCTTCTGCCTTCAGCTCAGATCATGATCCCAGGGTCCTGGGATCAAGTCCCACATCTGGCTCTCTGCTCGGCGGGGAGCCTGCTTCACCCCTCTCTCTTTCTCTGCCTGCCTCTCTGCCTGCTTGTGATCTCTGTCAAATAAATAACTAAAATCTTAAAAAAAAAAAAAAAAAAGAAAGAAAGAAAGAAAATGAAACTTAAGGTATGGGGGTGGGAAACATGGGTACAAGGGGTCAAAAGGTATAAATTGCCAGTTATAAGTCCTAGGGATGTAATGTATAGCACAGTGACTAGAGATAAAAATACCGTAATTGTGGGGCACCTGGGTGGCTCCATGGGTTAAAGCCTCTGCCTTCGGCTCAGGTCATGATCTCACAGTCTTGGGATTGAGCCCCACATCGGGCTCTCTGCTCAGCAGGGAGCCTGCTTTCTCCTCTCTCTCTCTCTCTGTCTGCCTCTCCGCCTACTTGTGATCACTGTCTGTCAAATAAATAAATAAAATCTCAAAAAAAAAAAACAAAAACCATAATTGTATTTTCAGAAGTTGCTAGAAAGTAGACCTTTGAAGTTCTCACAAGAAAAAAATCTGTTAACTGTACATGCTGATGGATGTAAACTATACTTATTATGATAATCATATATATGAGTGTGTGTGTGTACAATATACATACAAATATTTTTTTAAAGATTTTATTTATTTGAGAAAGAGAGCAAGCACAAGCAGGGAGGAGGGGGAAAAGCAGGCCTTCCTTCTCAGCAGGGGCTCAATCCTAGGACCCTGAGCTCATGACCTGAGCCAAAGGCTGACGCTTAACCAACTGAGCCACCCAGGTGTCCCTATATATTGGACATATTGGACAATATTGAATCATTATGTCATACACCTAAAATTAACATGTTATATCAATTCTATTTCAATATGTTTAAGGAAAAATTAATGAAAACATTATGATAAAAAATAATGAAAGCAAAATCATTATGGAAAAAAAAGCATGAATGAATTCGGGCCAACTCCTGATCTCTACTGTTTCTTACCTATTCACAAAAGATATACAAATTTATATAAAATATTACTCTCCTTAACTATCTACAAGAAACTAAATACCATAATATGTAAAAATAACATACCCCTGCTATAATGCAAGCTCCAATTTTTGAAATTTTCTTGTTCTTAATTTAACTAGCATGTGTGTTATCACACATTGAAGAGTAACTGATATATTATATATTTAAATGGATTTTTTTTTTAACTTAGGCATTCTGACCATATGATTCTAAAATACAGGATTTTTTAAAGGAGTCAAATACCATGGACTGGGGGTAGAGGTGAGGAGTCACAAGCAGTCATGTTGACCTTTGCAACTCCGTAACCCTTTCTTAGACATTTCTGAGGCATAGGAAGTTCCAAATCCCGCTCACCATTGCTTAAGGAAATGCTTTGTTCAGACTGTTTTCAGAGAAAACAGTCAATAACCATGCTTGTGCCTCTGAATTCAGCTGCACCAGCTGCTCACTTAATGACACTGAAATTAGGAAGCTTTGTTCTAATGGTGGCCACAGAGGCTCCTTTGGTCAAGTTGTAGTTCCAAACAAACCAAAGCCTTTAAAAGGCACACACCAATACACACAGGTCCAGAGAATATATTACTTGCAAAATGAAATAAGCAAGCCAAAGAACCCAAATAAGAAGTACAAGAATTCAGGAGGGAATGCAGTGTGAGGGCAGAACCACCTCAAATGCCTAAACTTTAATTACTTCCTTTTAAAAGCACAATGTTGGGGCGCCTGGGTGGCTCAGTGGGTTAAGCCTCTGCCTTGGGCTCAGGTCATGATCTCAGGGTCCTGGGATCGAGCTCTCTGCTCAGCAGGGAGCCTGCTTCCTCCTCTCTCTCTCTGCCTATCTCTCTGCCTACTTGTGATCTCTCTCTGTCAAATACATAAATAAAATTAAAAAAAAAAAAAGCACAATGTATGTCTTAAAATACCTTCCTAGGAACATGGGGCTTGCTATGACTCTGGTCAAAATTACTCAGTACTCTATGGATAATCTAATATTGCCAAGTGGCATCAAAGCCTCAACAGGCAGAACTGTGCTATTAAACCTCGCAGTGGGCCTTTCTTCCCCCAGTTTAGATCTCCATCAGAAGCACTGCAGCAGGCAGGATCCACCGCCAGCTCCCCCTACCTGTTTACTCGCATTCAGAAGGTATTTTCTACGTGCTGAGAGGCTGCAAAAAGCACAAATAACAAGGAAAAGCAAAATCACGGATGAAAAACTGAAACAAAATAAAATGAAATGTGCCATGGGCTGAAAAGAAGGCTGGGTCCTTAGACCTGGCAGTCACACTGTACGAGTCCTCCAGGGAGAGGCTCCGATGACCTACAGCCCACAAGTCACAGTGTCCCTTGTATTTATGACCTAACTTGACTCTGAGCTCACCCCAGACTCAGGCATTGGTAGAACCCAGGTGAGTCTGTGGTGCATGGAGAAGTCAGACCCAAGTTACTAGCTCTAGCTAGCCCCCTTGATCCTGATGGCGTAAGCCTGGCTAGAATTGGGATGTCCCTCAGTGTAACAGGGAAACAAACCAATGAGGAAGTGACAGACGAGGCTTGGAGCGTTCCTGGACATCAGAAAGGCCTAATTTCGACAGGATTTGAGGCACAGCCCAGCAGTTTGCCAAGAGGGCTCAGGTGTGATTCTATTCAATTCCACAAATAGGATGCATCTGTTGCCAACTCAAACGTAAGAAAGGACTCCAAATTATATTTATATCCTTGGGATATAAAACAGTGTTGGAACAGACAGTAGGCACTTAATAAATATCGAAGAAAGGGAGGAAAGAAAAAAGAATAAAAGGCAGGGAGGCAGGCAAGTAAAGAGCTTCTGCAGAGTGGGCATTTGCTGGTACTGAGGACATGAGGATGAACAGTTCGGCAAATGAGTTTCAGAGGTGCTGGCTAGAGATTTAATCAGCCCCCCCTCACCCATTTTCTAAAGTAGCTTTGATTTAATCAGCTCTTCTTCTTGAGACATCAGAGAGATAAAGGAAAGTTAAACTAGTCTGGAAAAATTAAGCTGCAGGCTTTTGTTGTTACAATTCCGAAAACAAGAAACTAAAACAAGTTTTTAACCCTGGCCACACATGAGAATCGTGCAAGAAACTTAAATTTGCCAGCTATCGGCACCTGGGTCCCACGTGGGATTAAATCACCAATTAAATTACAATCTCCAAGGAACGGGTAAAGGTACTACTATTTTTAAATACACATGTGATTCTAATCTGCATCAAATTATGAGAACCACTCTTCAGTAAATAATGGTAAATTTTTCGGCCCAGGATCTATTATGATCTTGGTAAGCTATACCAGAAAGCTAAGCTGCATTTAATAGCCATGAGTATGTTTACAGCTTCTACAGCAATAAATGAGACCCATTGGTTTAAGCAAAAATCACCTACTTTACCCTCCTGGCCAAAAACAGCAATGGAGAAGCACTAGGACACTAATAAAACCAAAAATAAAATTTTTTTTAAATTTTAAAAAACCATTTTAGATATCCAGCTCAGCACACTGGCACAAAATGTCTCTAAATAGCTCAGAAATAATTACAATATAATTAAAGGTTTTCAAACACAGATTCTGACATTAATTTGAAGATTACTTATTTTGTTTAAATTACCTCTTTTTTTTTTTAAAAGCTTTTTTTAAAGCAGCTTTATTCATAATAGCCCAAATTGAAAAAGAACCAGGATGTCCCTGAATTCCTCCACTTTATAAAATGGGTTTTCTTGGGGCTCCTGGGTGGCTCAGTCAGTTAAGCGTCTTCTTGGTTTCAGCCCAGGTCATGATCTCAGGGTCGTGAAATCCAGCCCCGTGTCTGGTTCCAAGCTCAGTGTGAGATCTACTTAAGATTCTCTTTCCCCCACAAACCATGAGAGACTGTGAACACTGAGAAACAAACTGAGTGTTTTGGAAAGGAGGGAGGTTGGGGGTTGGGTGAGCCTGGTGGTGGGTATTAAGGAAGGCACGAATTGCATGGAGCACTGGGTGTGGTGCATAAACAATGAATCTTGGAACACTGAAATACATACATACATACATACATAAAAGATCCTCTCTCCCCAGAGGCGCCTGGGTGGCTTAGTCGGTTAAGCATCTGCCTTTGCTCAGGTCATGATCCTGGAGTCAGGGCATGGAGCCCAGCATTGGACTCCCTGCTCAGTGAGGAGTTGGCCTCTCCCTCTGCCCATCCCCCTACTCATGTTTTCTCTCTCTCTCTCTCTCTCTCTCTCAAATAAATAGGTAAATAAAATCTTTAAAAAAAAAAAAGTTCTAAAATTGATTGTGGAGCAGTGCACAACTCTCTGACAATACCAAAACTACTGAATTGTATACTTTAGACAGGTTGAATTGGCATGTGACTCTTACCTCAATAAAGCTATTAAACACAGGGCGCCTGGGTGGCTCAGTCGGTTAAAGCCTCTGCCTTCGGCTCAGGTCATGATCCCAGAGTCCTCGAATCGAGCCCCACATCGGGCTCTCTGCTCAGCAGGGAGCCTGCTTCCACCTCTCTCTCTGCCTGCCTCTCTGCCTACTTATGATCTCTGTCAAATATGTAAATAAAATCTTTTTTTTTAAAAAGCTATTAAACATATAAAAGAAATATTTAAGTAGATTTTCTCAATTATATTAAAACTGAATTTTTTTATAGTTGTACACGGGCTGTGGCTATTCCACAAACTATTAGTATAAATCAATTTTTAATGTTAAATTTTCTTTTTCACATTCTCCAAAATCAAGGGTGCAATCCATACTGAAAGAATTTTGGCTTCAACTGCTTTTGAAAATCACAGCCTGAAGCAACGTGAAATTATAAAAAGTAACACTAAAATACTGAAATTAATGATACCATAATCGGGGAGTAGTGGATAAAATGTGATTAAGTTATTAATGAATCACTAAGTGTGATGTGGTAGAAATGATATGGGCCTACATGTCCTAAGTCCCAAATTCTAGATCTGACCCCATCATTTGTGGAGTATTCTTAGACAAACTACCCAAAATTGCCATAAAAACTCTAAGTCAGAAATTCATTTTAAGAGTAAGTTGAAGCAATGTTTAAGAAACCATTTGAACACTGTTTGGTGCTTGAAAAAAATAGTGTTGAAATTATTTTGGCTTTGTTGCAAAAAGAGAGATCACGGAGTTCAGAGAGACTATGATGTGTTCCAAGAATCTCTAAAATTTTGTTCTCCACCCACTTTTCCCTGTAGCATCTCAAACTCTTCAAATTTTTCTTGTCTCCATATTTTCTCATCTATAAAGGAGAGACATATTTGCCTTTTTAAGAAGTTACTGAGCTGGGGTGCCTAGTGCACCCACTTAACCTACTGGCTCAGTGGGTTAAGCCTCTGCCTTCGGCTCAGGTCATGATCTCTGCTCAGCAGGGAGCCTGCCTCACCCTCTCTCTGCCTGCCTCTCCACCTACTTGTGATCCCCCTCTCTGTCAAATAAATATATAAAACCTTAAAAAAAAAGTTACTGAACTATAAATCAAGTCCTCTACTTTATTCAGTCAATGAACCAAACTGCCAACTGACTTCCTTCATCCCCTTTTGGACCCAGGAAGATACCGTGGGTTTTCATGATATTGCAATTATATACTGCAAGCGGGTGTTGTATGATAGCTGGTTTCATGGGTTTTTGTTTTGTTTTGTTTTTTGTTTTTAAACAAGAGTCCCAGCCAGCCAGGGGAAAGGAAAAGAGCCAGAAGAAACATTATGAAGGAGCACGGAAGTTCTAATAACCAGAAGAGCAGACTAACACAGAAGTTCTTATCAGGAAGGAGCAAATCCAAATTTCCGTGCACACAGCTACAACTTTTTTACAGTAATTAGTCTTCTCCTTCAGAAATCCCAGCACAGTGAAGCCCTGCAAATGAGTTAATTCCATTTCAAAAAAAGTTACACTCTTCTCTAAAGCAAGTAACTGTTAGCCCCCAAGGATAACAACCATATGATTATGACAAAAGCTTTCCGTTTAAAAAGGGAAGATATGGGCAAATGGAAATGTTTCTCCAAACTTTTTCAAGCATTACTTAAAACTGTTATAAGGCATGATTATAAATGATCATGAATTTAGTACTATTATTTAATTGAATCTTCAATTCTTTTGTAAGGATTAATTATTTCTTATATTAAATTTCCTCCACAGTGTGACGATATAGAAATATATAGACCCACACATGTGTGAGCTGCTCAACTATAATTAATGATGCACTTTTATTCTCTATTATTGTGTGGAAAACATTCTGACACAAAATAAATGAAGCATAATCATTCAGAGTAATGATTCGAATGTACTGATTAATGAAACCAAATAGCTTTTCTGTTCTTTAGTTAAATTAAAACATTTACACTCTGGGAATCATAAGGGCATCCCTAAATGGATGTTTCCTAGGTAATCATTTTCCCTTATAGAAATCACCTACCTTGCCATCACTGTAAATAAATTCCCATCAGTCGTAAAATGTACCATTATTTTATGTGCAAGAAACAAAAACTCTGTCAATCAAAATATTCTCCAATACTAAGTTGTCTTCAGAGATGTTAAAGTGTGAGGAAGAAACTGGAGAGAATGTGACCCATATGCTTAAAAATCATCAGATGGTGAGAGAAAGAAAAGGAAGGAAGGAGAGAGGGAGGGAAGAAGGAAGGGAGGAAGGAAGAGAGGGAGGGAGGGAAGTAAGGAAGGAAGAAAGGAAAAAAGAATCATATGATTATTCAGATGGATAGATAGGCTGACTGATATCCTGAGCCCCAGCACAAACCTACTGACTTAGATATTCTGGAGACTGGGCTAAGATACTAGTAGAGTTGACCCTTGAACTACCAGAGGTTAGAGGTACCAAACTCCGCATGCAATTGAAAATCCAAGTATAACTTCTGACTACCCGAAAAACCCAACTACTAATCAATGACCTGCTACTGACTGGAAGACTTCCCAATAACACAGTCAATGAACATGTATTTTGTATGTTATGCTTATTATACACTTTATTCTTACAACAAAGTCACCTAGAGAAAAGAAAATGTTAAATCATTTACAGAACTGCACTGATGTATCGAAAAAAGTCTGCATAGAAGTGGATCTGTGCAGTTCAAACCCATGCTGTTCAAGGGTGTCAACTGTTATTTGTAAAAATCTCCCCAGGCAAGAGACCTAG